CTTTATTGACCTATCTATCAATACGTGGCCATTTATCTGTCAATCTATCTGCCTTTTTATACACCTATCTACCTATTTTCCTGTCTGTCAGCTTAGCACAAGGCATCGTAAAATTTATGAATAACCTATATAAAGTCCCAGGTAGTTTATAACACTAGATCCGAGAGCAAAAACTTGTCTGAAAAAGTGTAGTATATATAACAACTTATTTTATCTGATGTACTGAGAGGATTCTTCCGTATCATTTTCTTAAAAAATACGTATAATTTTGATTTTGTTATGGAAATATATGAAGGCAGGTAGACATGATGTTGTTCTCAGATACGGGATGAATTTTATCTAGTGGAGGATGTCTCAGAAAGAGAGAGAGAGAGAGAGAGAAGACGACGAAGAAGAAGTAGTAGTAGTAGTAGTAGTAGAGTAGAAGAAGAAGAGTAAAGAAAAAGAAGTAGAAGAAAGAAGTAGAAGGAAGAAGAAGAAGAAGAGAAGAAGAAGAAGAAGAGAAGAAGAGAAGAAGAGAAGAGAGAGAGAGAGAGAGAGAGAGAGGAGAGAGAGAGAAGAGAGAGAGAGAGAGAGAGAGAGAGAGAGAGAATAGGAGAGAGAGAGAGAAGAAGAAGAGAAGAAGAAAAGTAGTAGTAGTAGTAGTAGTAGAAGAGAAGAAGAAGAAGAAGTAAAGAGAAGAAGAAGTAGAAAGAAGAAGAAGAGAAGAAGAAGAAGTAGAAGAAGAAGAAGAAAGAAAGAAGAAAAGGAAAGAAGACGAGAGAGAGAGAGAGAGAGAGGAGAGAGAAGAGAGATGAGAGAGAGAGAGAGAGTGAGAGAGAGAGAGAGAAGAGAGAGAGAGAGAGAGGAGAGAGAGAAGGAAAGAGAAGAAAGAAAGAAAGAAAGAAAGAGAGAGAGAATAAAAAAGTAAAAATAAATAAAACAAGAAAGAAAGAAAGAAAAGAAAGAAAGAGAAAGAGAGAGAGAGAATAAAAAAAAAGTAATAATATGGTACTGCATCGGTTACAATATATTACACATTATATTTATGGAGGCATGTTAGAGCACAGAGTAAAATTCCTGTTATTACAGCAAACACCCAGATCCCATTGTTTTAATTACCATCTACGGGAACACATAAAAATGCTCCCGTGTCATTTAGACCTTGGGCTGCTAATGAGGTCTTGTTAATGATATGAGTTAGTGTAATTTGGGGAAGGTTGGAATTTCGTCCATAAACCCTCATGCAGTTTCTGCTTCGTCACTATCATTTTTGCTTTTTTTTTTTTTTTTTTTTTTTTCTCTCTCTTTCTCTCTCACTCTATTTTTTTTCTTTTTTTGGGGGGGGGAATGTAATTAATTTGGTTCTGTTTCTTTTTTTATTTTTTTAGTTATCCCTGTCTGTATTTAGCTGCGTTTTCTTCTCTCTTCTCTCTTCTCTCTTCTCTCTTCTCTCTTCTCTCTTCTCTCTCTCTCTCTCTCTCTCTCTCCTCTCTCTTCTCTCTCTCTCTCTCTCTCTCTCTCTCTCTCTATCTCTTTCTTTCTGCATTCCCTATCACCCCTCCCTCATCTCCCACAACCACCTTCCCTACACCCCCCCCCCTCCCCCCTACCACCCCCTCCCCCTCTCCCCCAACCACCCCCTTCCTATCACCCCCTCTCTCCCATCCCCTCCATCTCCCTCCCCTCCCCCCCCCCCCCCCCCCTCCATCCCCCCTCTCCCACCTCCATCCCCCCAACCACCCACCCCCTCTCCCACCTCCATCCCCCCTCCCCCTTCTCCCACCTCTATCCCCCCTCCCCTCTCCCCCAACTACCTCCATCCCCCCTCTCCTATCCCCTACCACCCCTTCCCTATCACCCCCCTCCCCTCTCCCACCTCCATCCCCCTTCCCCTTTCTGCCCCTCCAACTCCCCCTTCCTTATCACCCCCCCATCCCCCTCCTCCTCCCCCTCCCACCCCCTCCCTCTCCCTCTCCCATCCCCCTCCCCACTCCATCCCACCCCTTCCCCTTTCCCTCTCCTCCATCCCCTTCCCTATCACCCCCCTTTCCCCCACCCCTCCATCCCTCCCCCTCAAGTCAAAGGCAAACCAGCCCATCCGTCAGTCTTAAGGTGCGGCGACCCAGCCTGTCTCCTCGCTGTCACCGCCGCCTTTTGTCGTCTGCTCGATGGATCTCTCAACTACGAGCCTAAATGTTTTTTTTTTTTCTCTCTCTCTTTTTTTTTTTTTTTTAGGAGAAAAATTAAGAGTATTGTGTGTTTTCTTTTTTTTTTTTTGGAGAAAATTAAGGGTATTGTGGGGGGGGGGGTTGATGTTGTTTTGTTTTGTATATGTGTTATGTATGTTTTTTTTTATGTGTCTTCATGTTCTTATCTTCGGGTTTAGATAAATGTTTTTTCTGTAATTTTTTTAGGAAAGAAATTAATAGTTATGATTTTTTTATGTTTGTTTTATATTATATATATATATATATATATATAATATATATATAATATATACATATTTATGTATGTTTTTATATGTCTTTATGTATGTTTTTTTCTTCAAAATTTGGAAGATAATCGTGTATTTTCGTTAGATTTCGTGTATTCTAGATACTATTTGTGTATCTTAGACGTTATTCGTGGATACGTTTTAGATAATACAATAGTTTAAATATTTTTGATAATATCTATGGATACGTTTTAGATAATACGATTAGATGAAATATTTTGAATAATATTGGTGCCCTTTAGATGATATATATGGATACGTTTTAGATAAAGAAATGAATTAGATATTCTGGATAATATTCTTATATTCTAGATGATATCCATGGATACTTTTTGGATAAAATAGACAACGATAGTTCGTATTTGCTGAAGGAGAAAAAGTATCACGTGACAGGAAGTTTTCTCCGTAGAATAAACACCCGGATCAGTAAATTGTTTGGAAATTCATTAGCCGGCAACCCACCAAAGACGATTCTAAGGGTAAACACAAACAGAAAGTTGGACCAAGATAAGCAGTGTGGAAGGAAGAGAGAAGGAGAGGTGGAGATAGATGGATTGAGTGATAGATAGATACGTGAGTGCATAGTTAGGCGTTGGCGAATACATGCTTGGATACGTACATAAGCTAGGTATCTATGATTGCATACATTGATTCGCATATGTAGACTTGTATGTATACATGTAGCTAAAATGAGAGGGAGAGTTCACACACACACACACACACACACACACACACACACACACACACACACACACACACACACACACACACACACACACACACACACACACACACACACACACAGAGAGAGAGAGAAAATAGGGGAAAAGAGAGAGAGAGAGAGAGAGAAATAGGGCGAAGAGAGAAGTGAGAGAGGCAGGGAGAAGAGAGAGAGAGAGAAGAAGAAGAAGAAGAAGAAGAAGAGAAGAAGTCGAAGAAAGAAGAACGAAGAGAGAAAGAAGAACCAGGAGAGAAAAGTAGAATAGACGGAGAGAAAGAAAGACAGGAGGAAAGAACAGAGAAAGAAGAAAG